GGACAGGATTAAGGCTTACTGTGAAAAACTTGGCTTCTATTATACTATTTTAGATGCGGGTTTTTGCGCTTTTGATTGCGTTTTAATAGGGTACGTCAAGAGAATGTACACTAAGAAAAAATTTTTTGAAAAATTTTTCCCCACGGGGGAAGTGTTATACATTTATAATAGATACATTTTGAGCCACAACAAGGCATGGCAGGGTCTGCTAGTTATAAAATATTTGGATGGAAATTTTATGTAATTTATTACAATTTTAATTTTACTAATAAGTATTGTTTTTTTCCAATTATCTTAGCTTATCCAATAATCTTCTAATTAGTATTTAAATGCATTCTAAAATTAAATCTAGAATTTGTGAATTTATGGATTTTTTTTTCTTCCTCCCTGAAAATGAGCCAAGAGGCTTGAAAACAATTAGATTATTTTTGTACAAAGTAATTCAGAATAAAACATTTGAATTGCTATTTTTTGAAACATTGCAGAGTTTTTTAGATAATTTGTGTAACGATATATGTAGTTTGAAACTTTCACTCTTAATTAGATATGCTACTTCATAAAAAGTTTCTGAATATTCAAACTTAAATTATTAATACTAAATGGTAAATTTTATTTCAATACTTTATTGCGTATTTGTTAATGCATTTAATTTAGGTTGATAACTTTAGTACTAGCCTTTGTACAAATAATTTCTCCAGACTTAAGTCAATGTAAATTATTAACTCTGTATAAAATTTTTATCTTGGAAAATTTCTTATAAATATCTGTATTTTGTGAGATGATTATATTATTTTACTCAAATCATCATTAAAAATTCTTATAAATGAAAAAATTTGTTATTATAATGTGGAAATAAATCTTTCTAATATTTTTCTTAAAGTAATTATGGTTGCATATTATCTTGTATGCATTATTTTATATAGAAGTATTTAAAATATTATATTTGCAAAATTAAAAAAACTATATAAAAATAAATTATTATTTTTTACTCCAAATTTTTTAAAGATTTAAATCAGTAATTTTAGTCAAATAATCAGTTTTTTAAAATCATTATCAAATACCAATTTTGATAATCCATTGGCAAATTAATCATGTTTAATTATTATAATAAACAATGTATAAAAGAATCAGATCATTTAATTTTCAGTTTCACATTTGATTGATGGATAATAAAATTTGAAATTATTAAAACAATTAAAGAAACAACAAATTAAAACAAAATTTATTTTGTTAATTTCAGTATGATGTACAGTATACTTATTATTTTAAAGAGTACCAATTGTTTTAAATAATAATATCCACTAATAAATAATTTAAATTAATTAAATTTTCTAATCAGTTAATTAATGTCACTATAATTCATCAAATAATTATAGTGACATTAAATTATAAAATTATTTTTTAACTGTGAAGTAAAAAAATAAGATAGATAGTTCCAGTTGGCACTACAGCAATTATGCAGTCTTCCAAGTTAAATTTTTTTCAGAGAAGTGAAAGCTATGCTAGGAAGAATTTAACATCAAAAGAAATGTTAGCCAATTAGTGAAAATAGCCATTAATGTCAACAATTATTTTTATGTCATCATTATATAAATAATGATTAAAAAAATTATGTAGAAATGTCAAGTTTATAATAATAATTTTTGTTTTATAATCTGATATTCACTTTTTTTAATTTAAATAATAAAATTTTCAGATATTTAATTTTTTATATTAGTATATATATAATAGAATGGCCAGATATATAAGATTCATGATTCATATATTATTACTAATATAGATATAAGTTGGAAAACTACATTTAATTAATGCAATTACTTATATAAAATATAAGTAAAGAAATAATGTTTATTCTAGAAATTTATTTAACCTCTTTTTTGATATATTATTTGTTATTTGTTTAATCAGTTAAATCCTAAAATCAGTTAATCAATGTAATCAGTAAAAAAATCTCTGAAATCTATTTATGTAAATATAACAAAGCATCTGAAATATACCTTGTTTAGCCTTAAGTTCTATGTACTGTACAATATATTACATATAGTTTTATAATAATATAGTTTTCACTATTTTGTCTAAAAGAAAATAGAATGCTGGATTCAGTAGGCATGAGGATCTTCATTCTGGGAGGGTAAATGTGAGGCAAAACATTATTTTATTAGGCAGGTGTTATCTGCACTTCCTATCATCAAACAAATTAATTTTTAAAATTTAGTGATTGATTTCAGTAAGACAAATAAACAGGAAAAGTTTAGTGAGAATTTGTAATTACTCGGTGAACAATCAAATCATATTTTAAATAAAACCCCAGTAATGGTCAGTATAGGTAATCTTAAATAAATTACTTTTAGGTATGGGTGGACAAAAAGATATTACAGAGGGTTTGCATCCACCCTAGCACTGTCAATGGCTGGATTTATTTTTCATTAAATGCTACTTTTTTCTATAGGATATATTTTAAAACAATAATTTAATTCATTTTTTTTTTTCAATTTGAATTTCTAATAAACTGTTTTTCCAAATTTTTATTAATTTCTTATCTAATCATCATTCTAAATTGATTTTTTTAAAAATTCTTAAATAATTCAAATATTAATATAATGTTATTTATAACATATAGCATTAATGCATATAATTAACCAATATTTTATTTTTGCATACAAATATAACTAAATTATTTTTTGTTTCAAATTTGAATTCTTTATTGATTTGTGGTAGACTATAATTACCTATCATATAACCCTTATCAATATAATTAGATTTTGGAAAATATAAAGCTTACAGTAGCCAGTAACATAAACAATCATTTACAGTAAGAAACAGCCTTGAATTCATGTATACAGTTCAACTGTTTGTGCACAGTTGAACAATTACATGCCACAGCAGATAACAGTTTATATATGATAGTGTTGCCATCAATGACAATAGGAATACTATAATTTTGTTAAATATTGTTTTGAAGAAATTGAATCAATTATTAAAATGTTTTTTTTTTGGATAAATTAAAAATAGATGTAAATTTTTCTAATTAATTTATTAACTAAAATTAATTTATTTCTAATTATTTTATTTAATACAAGATGATAGTATAACCACTTATCTTTAGTCTAATAACCACATTAGCTAACTGCAGCCTCTGAGCTGCATGCAATTTTTCTAGACCTTACTGTGGCTCCCGTATACTTAAACAATTTTTCTTTATAAACTTGAGATATACTACTTAAACAAATTTAATAATTTTGTAAGTTTGTTGACTAATACTGCATGATATATACACTGATTATAAGCATAACATGCTTGCAACTTGAACAGACAACTGAAAGCAAATGGTACATTTGTATGAACCAAATTTTAAACAGTTAGCATCTCAACTACAAACCCACAAATCTTCTATCAGTAAGTATTGATATGTATTTACATACCATAAAAAGAAGAAAATAATTTATAATAAACCTATTTTTTCAGTTTTTTAGATATCCTTTCTTACTTTGCTATCCAAACATATGCATTTTTAACCTAACATAACAGTGATATTTACTATAGAACAGTGATAACTGTAATATATGAACTGTACACAGTATAAAATACAAGTACTATTCCAATAGAATATGCAGCTTTTGCTTTTTTCTGTATAGGCAATATATGGCTCCTATTGTGACAATGTTTAGCCAAGTGTTATATAATATCTGTATAATTAATTAGACAAGTATTAGCCTGATAATTAATCTGGATCTTTCTCATTTCGTTCCTAAGATAATTTGTGCTTGTGTTTTTATATATTTATATTGGATTGATGGATAATAAAATTTGAAATTATTAAAACAATTAAAGAAACAACAAATTAAAACAAAATTTATTTTTAAATAATAATCGTCACCATTGTATCGTTAAAAATTATTTTCAAATTATTTTATTGCTCACAAAACAAACAACCACTCATAATTAGAAAATTAAGTCTTGTTTAAATACTGGCCTCCCTTCAATGGTCGAGCCGATGTTGCCAGCTAAAACATGCAAAAATTTAACAAAAATAATATTAAAGTAGCCAAGACATAGCCAAATATTGTAGCGCCACATCACTAGCGGACATTTGAAATTTGCCGACTAGAACTGTCGGTTAACTGATGTGACGGTTAATCGGGGGTTGGATAATCGATGCTCTACTGTATTTGTATAATTTTCTATAGATTTGATGATAAATTCCTTTTAATGAAAATACAAATTATAAAAAGTGAAATTATTTTATATTTTATTGATTTTAATTTAGAATTACTTTGATAACATATTTGTACAAGAAATGTGTTTTGTTTTTATTTTTTAGCTGTGGAACCATTCAAAAAACATTATATTTCTGAAGCAGTTCTACGTCGCTTAATGGGACAAAAAATATTTTTTACTATTAAAGTACGTAGTGGAGAGGAATCTAATTCTCAAGATACAGAAATTTATCGTGCTGGCACACCTGCTGATTATTTTATTTTAATAATTGAAGGACGTGCTAAAGTTACTGTTGGGCAAGAGAATCTTACATTTGATGTTGGACCCTTTTCATATTTTGGTATTCCAGCACTTTTGACTGGTGTTAATCCAGGTATTTATTTACTTATTTTTTAAATTTAGTTAATGTTTTTAACATTAAGAANGAAAGCAAATGGTACATTTGTATGAACCAAATTTTAAACAGTTAGCATCTCAACTACAAACCCACAAATCTTCTATCAGTAAGTATTGATATGTATTTACATACCATAAAAAGAAGAAAATAATTTATAATAAACCTATTTTTTCAGTTTTTTAGATATCCTTTCTTACTTTGCTATCCAAACATATGCATTTTTAACCTAACATAACAGTGATATTTACTATAGAACAGTGATAACTGTAATATATGAACTGTACACAGTATAAAATACAAGTACTATTCCAATAGAATATGCAGCTTTTGCTTTTTTCTGTATAGGCAATATATGGCTCCTATTGTGACAATGTTTAGCCAAGTGTTATATAATATCTGTATAATTAATTAGACAAGTATTAGCCTGATAATTAATCTGGATCTTTCTCATTTCGTTCCTAAGATAATTTGTGCTTGTGTTTTTATATATTTATATTGTGATCATATGTTTAGTTGTTTAGTTAATAACAACTGAAGCATGATTTAAAACTTGTAATAAATAAATTACATAAAATTTATAATTTATTTGTTATAATAGTTAATAAGCAGTTTTAAATACAATTACACAAATTAAATAATAATTGTTTTAATTAATACAGTCTTTAATACTGTAAAATATTTTATTTTCTAAGCTAAAAGGCAGAGCTAATCATTTAAATGCAAAGGATAAACACTCATTTCACTCAGTTCTCTATTAAAAAGTTATAGATTTCCAGTCTGACTAGAACTTTTTAACAGTGGAAATAAATCTGCCATTTTAGAGAATGTAGAAATGAGATGCCATTGTAGAGAAAGTTGAACTAAGATATCTAAACTATAAAAAAATTTGCTTATTCTAATCAGGGGCTTGCTTATACTAATAATAATAAATGAATGATAAAATTAAGTATGGTAAGTAAATAAGACTACAGTTAGTAGAAATTATAATTTTATTGACCCTTAAGAAGAAGATTTATTAAAACAATTAAAAATTTTCTAACCTGCAGTTTAATTATAATATTAATAGTAATTCATTCAGTGCTGTTTAACTGCTTTAGTTTACAGTTTCAATAATTACATATTACACCTCCACTCCAGCACATCAATTTTATTAATGCTAACATTTTCAACCCTTTTCAAGTGTCTTCAATTATTTTGTATGCATTGAAGTTTTCAATGAAATGGAATAAGAACATACTCTAAATGTATATTCAAAATTATAGAACATTTTTTTATTAATAAGTGTTTGATTAATGATTCAAAATCGTTCTAATGTGCACCTGATATAAAACTATGCTATTTAAGTATTGTTCTTGATTGATTAAATTATATTACATTAAAATAAAAATGATATAAATAGGACAGCCTTATATGAACAGATTTTCTTCAGGTTATGGGACTTTATACCATGGTTTCCATGCCTTACATATGATCCAATAGTCCTTCATAGTTTACTGATTTGATTTACCTACATGTAAAGATTTATATATATATATATATATAAATGGGCGTGTGTGTCCCTATATTTCACTTTTCAGCCAAAACTACACATTGCACATGAATGGTGTTTGTATGTGGTAGTAGCCCCCAGCCAAGTCTCCATTCATGCACTATGGTGGTTGCATCTCGATAGCTATATGGGTGCGGGAGATATGGGGGCTTAAAGTGGTTGACTTCAAAGATTTTCTTTTTCGTTTTAAAAATGTTCGAACCATTTTAAATTCAAATTTGTATTCAAATTCATATTTAAATTCAAATTGGTTCGATTATAGAATGATTGTAAATGTTCCAGAAAATTGATCAAATTGAAAATGGTTCGTTTGACTGGATGTAAAAATTCTCTAATTAGTCTGGAAACGGGGGGACCTAATTCTTGCATTCTGTGAAAACGGGTAAGATTGGCTATAATGCAATTATCTTAATCTTCACTATCGTTACTTTTTGCCCAGCAAAGCGGGTCCTTGCAGCTAGATTCTAGATTACTTAGAAAAACAGTCTTTTATATATAAAAAAAACTATATTACATACAAATAAAAACCCAGCGAAGCGGGTCCTTGCAGCTAGTATATATATATCTAGTTCCTCTATGTTTCATGCCAAGATTACCACATACTAGTTGTATAATCTTAGCATTGTTCAGGTTCAATTCCACACTTTATTCCAATTAAAGTTATTAAAGTTTGTTCCATTAAAGTTATATCTGGTTGTCTCTTTTCTATTGTGGACCTATGTTTTTAATTCTTACCATAAGCAATTGGAAAATCACTCTCTATGTATTCCAACTCTTTACTAAATCTATTGAAATGTTTGTATGTTCAATGAATATTGAGTATTCAACACTCAATGAAGGCCAATCAAATAGCTTGAAAACATTCTTGCTCAGTAAATAATAACTGCTGAAATAATTTAAGGGACAAGTTTTTTGTCTTGATGTTCTTTCTCCAGTTCTTCAGTAATTTCATTATAAGTTTTGTCAAGACAGCTTAAAAATCCCTATTTACTAGGCAATAATAACTATAACCTCTGATTTTAATAAATGAAGTTTTATAAGTATATATTAATTTTAAAGTATTTTTTGAAATATGCTAATCCCAGTAACATTACACAACTGATAACATTTATGCATACAATAATTGAATTCTATTGATGAATCATTTTATGAATTACAAAGCTGCTATGGAAAATCAGCTTTGTTGTACCAGTTTTATTGGGAATAATCACTACTTTGAAATAGTACAGGGTGGGCCATGAATTCATAAACATTTTAAAAAAANTTATTATAAGTAAATTGTATGTTTATAAATAATAGTTTATAATTTATTAATTAAATCATTATCTGTAATTACTATTACAAAATTTTGCAGTTTTTAAGTTTACTAGCGGATATTTTCCGGCGAAAAATAATGTAAGCTTATATTTAACACCTGAATCTTTTGACCGATCTGCATCGGTTTTATTGGTTTTATTCCTTTATGGCAACGCGATACTTGGGCGATCTGCCAATGGGGGAATGCCTTCCGGGAGGTCTTTTATGAGAAACTGACCTCTATTTAGGTGTCACTGACGTGAAGAAAACCCTTAATACTCCACGCGAACCCACGTCCAGTGTTTAGTGGTTTTATCCACTTTGGCCAGTGATGAGCCTGATTTGCATCAAATTCTCATACAAACTCCCTGGGATTCTGCAGAAAATATAGCGTACCATCATACTTTTCGCAGGATTCCTAGAGGATAACTCTGAAAACGGACAGACATGAAATTTTATATTTGATTCAAACTTGAACCTACCTAACCATATTTGACTTATTTTATTTTATTTTTATTTACAAGATAGCCAATTTACAGGAATATATTTTAAAAAAATAATATCTAAATGACCACCATCTTGATTTTGGCATTCTTCTAAGTGAGTATGGAAATTTTCGAAGACTCGTTAGCAAAGAGGCCTTGAGATAGAAGCCATCTTTTCTCTAATTTTTGCTCATAATTGAAGCAGTGTCTTTGGTTTATTAGACACGACTCTTCAAATAATCCCACAAAAAGAAATTTGCTGAGGACAAATCGAGACTCCTGGGTGGCCATGGGATGTCGCCTCTCCTGGAAATCATCTTTTCCAGAAACATCTCTTTAACTTTTTGCGAGACTTGGACAAAAGTTGTAAATTTTCCACCATATATAAAAGACTATCAGCAAGAAAAAATAGAAAGAAAACCCAATCAACATGGAGGCATAGTAGTATATATACATAATGATAAATGTTATGAAGTTGTTTCAGATCTAACTTTTACAAGGAATTATATAGATGTAATTATGATAGTTCTAGGTAATCTGATGTTGGTAATAGTCTATCGTTCCCCATCTACAAACTATGGAATTTTCCTGGATGTTATAAATGAAATACTATTACATAAATCAACCAAATATGGAAAATATAAATTACAAATAATCGGAGATTTTAATACTGATTTACTTAAAAATAACTCCTCTGACACCTCCAGACTGGTAAATCTTTGCTTTGCTGAAAATTTAACAGTTCTGGCTGATTTGAATCAACCAACTAGATACGGAAAAAAATACTCACTCTTTGATAGACTTTGGTCTAACAAATGATAGTGCGTGTCAATTTTTAATACATCAAAATTTGATATCTGACCATTTACCTATCATCGTCTTTACCCCTGAAAAAGACCTTGATACGGGGATAAAGAACAAAGCAATCTACCGTAGAATCAATAATTCCTCGATTTGCCATTTACGTTATGCTTTGTCGTCTTGTTTCTCCTGGAGTTATTACTATACTTCAAGTTTGACAACTGACCAATTAGCTGACTATTTATACACCATCTTACTCGTTTTTATTGATAAATATCTTCTGACTAAAGAATATGAGAAAAAAAATAAAATTAGCAGGAAAAAATTCTTAAAGAATTTTATATCTGAACACACACTCACATTAATTAAATAGAAGAAAAGTTTACTTAAAACAGTCAAAAATAAAAATTGGACGACTTTCGAACTTTTATTAAAGCATATGTGACAAAAAATAACGATTCATCTGAAAGTTTTCTGAGAACAAAAAATGCTAAATTAAAGATTTCACATACGTAATAATTGTATTATCCATGACCTGTATGATCAAACTGTGCACATAATACATTTTGTGTTTAATGTGTTTTAATTTAATGTAAAAATGTTTTATTTTAAAAAATTGTTTCAATTTAATAAAATTAAATTAAACCTCAGATTTTAATTTAAAAAATCTGATTGTTATTGCATTTGATTTGTTTTGTTGCTATTATTCCTTCCTTTAAATCACTATCCATCCACATTTCCTACTAAATAAAATTATAATTCATGTTTTAAGATCATAAAATAAAGACAAAAAGATGATAAAATATTTATTTTGTTGCATTTTTGCAAGTTTTGTTAGACTTTACATAGTCTGTGGTGTTAGTGTTCTCCTCAAACCGCTAGATGTCACTAGTTTGTGCTGTCACCACTACAGTACATGCTAATTCACGAGAGTTTCCACTATTGTTGTATAAGCAATTTGTCCATGCTTGACTCTGTTTGGTGATATTCAGTATGCATGCTGCTTGCTGTGTTATTTAAAAAGAATTGGATATAGTGATGTAGGTCATAGTGCATGACAAGGATAGTTATGCTTTTTTGTTTCATTATTATGTTTTGAACTGGAGACGTGATATTATGGTATTTTCTTTCCAATCATAATGGAAATATGTAGTATTTTATTGGTATTTTGAAAGTTATTTCATGAGAATTGGATGTAGGGATGTTGGCTTTAGTACATGACAATGATAGTTATGGGCAGTTCACTTTCAGCAGTGTTCTGCCGAATGTCTCTGCACTTTAGGTAAACCATTTGTAATTAATTATTTATCATTGCTATGCATGCTAACTATTTAGTATGCCCCAATGCCTGCATCAGGCCTTTTAACTGGTATTAAATAGAATTTATATATAAAAAATATATTTTGAAATATAAAGGATAAGTATTTAATAATTAATGTGATTTTTACAGCTGATAATAGAAGAAAACAACGAAGGAAAGAAACACAATTGAAGCAAGATTTCTCTGACTTTGCTAAACTTGGAAGTGAGCAACAAGGAAAACATATTATTTCATCACAGTTGGCATTAGCAACATTCCAATATTTATTGACCTGTAAATATTGTATTTTTAAAATCTATTATATTACTGTTTAGTAATACAGTCGACTCCCCCTATAACACTGTAGATAATTCCGTTTTATATGAATTCCATGTTGTACGAGTCACTTAGATTTTACAAATACGTGAGCCATTCACAGCCCAGCACACGTATTTATAAAATCTAAGTGACTTGTACAACATGGAATTCATATAAAACGGAATTATTTACAGTGTTATAGGGGGTCAACTGTATATTAGAAAATATTTTTAGTTAACTTTTATTGCTTCTCAAAAAATTAACCTCCATAAAGTAATGGTGATAAGTATTTAAGAAATTGAAATGAAATGAAAACAAAGTTTGGACTTGTATTGTCTTCAGTATTTATTAATCTATGACTATACTATTAAATAATATTTTCACCATTTGATGATAAATAATTTTATATAAATTTGAATTTTTAATATTATTTATAAACAGTAAGACCCTGCTTAAAGCGGGAGATGCATTCCTAGACAACAAAGCGCTAAGTGAAACAGTGTTAAACAAGGTCATTTTAACATAGAGTAAATAGGGATAGGAAAACACATGACCAATAATAAAAAAATTTTAAGTTATTTTTATATTAATTTGTATAATAATATATGTTAAATAACACATAAACATATGCACACAGAAATGTAAAGTTCATTTTTTGTGACGAAGGTCCTGACTTTTCTGAAATTCTTATTCTTTTGCAATAAAGTCATGAAGTTTCATTTGTCGTTGTTTTCTTTCCTAATCAAATGTCGGTAGCAGAAGATCACATCCAAAACACCTCGTTTTACTTTTGCACTCCTTTTAAAATCTGGATTGTTCACTACAATTTGATTAGTGATTTCGGTTATCTTACCAAACTCTTAATAAGGAAATCTGTAGAGAAATATTTTGGGTTTTTTATTTTCAAACTCTCTATTTTCCAGTTCCACATGAATTCCATGTTCTGCCAGTTCTTGAAAGTCATCATTGGTAAGGCTCTCTTTAGAAACCTGCTGTAACTCTCAATATCCTGCTCGTCTACATTTCATAGTCCTGCTATATTGATTAGGTTGAGTTTGGTCAACCTAATGATACAGCGATAGGCTCTTCTTGTTGAGAATTCTTGGATACCTTCAGCCATAACTTCTTCCATACTTTGTTTGTGCATTTATTAGTTAATTCTTGCCAAGCAATATTTCCTATGGCATCCATGATGATATATTTTTTCCAAAATTGCACCAAACAAACATAGATTTAAAGAAAGTAACGTTTTTGCCAGCTTTTGCTGATTGGTTTGTGTTCCAAATAATCGTATTATATTCAAATTTATGAAATGCCAAAATAATTTAAATTGGTGTAAATTCTCGGCTTTTTTTTAGCCTTCGAGCAGACCACGTTATATCGAATCAGCATTAAGCAGGATCTTACTGTATAAAATTCAATAGAATAATTTACCAACTAACAAGTAAGATTAAAAAGACTAATAATCTGTAAACCAACACATTGAATCAAAATAAAAGATCTATAATTTTATTTTAACTTGGCATATTTAAAATAAATTTTTAGATCTTCATTTTTGATTGTGTATTAGGCTTATGGAATATTATTATTTTTAATTTTAATGCTAATTGACTACTACTTTTATTCATATAATTTATCACATTTACAATAGCAAGGGATAAATACTGTAGGATGTCATTGATTTATAGTTTAAATTTGAAAAATGTTAATGTAGTATTTGTATTATTATACTTTGTGTTAAAATTCACTAAAGAGAAATTAACACTTTCTGAACACTAGTTTGATTAATGAGATTAAAATTCAGAAATTTATTACAGTAGAGCATCGATTATCCGACTCATTTGGGTACTCAGGTTGGTCAGATAACTGAAAATAATGAAAAAAATATATTATTAGTATAGTATATTAGGATATCCCATGTAGTTAGTATATTAGTATATCGCTATTAACCAACTTTGCATTAAATTTTCATCGATGTTTAGCCTAACAAATTTTTTAAAAATAATAATCGTCGCTATTGTATCATTAAAAATTATTTTTAAATAATTTTATTGCTCACAAAACAAACAACCACTCATAATTAGAAAATTAAGTCTTGTTTAAATACTGGCCTCCCTTCAATGGTCGAGCCGATGTTGCCAGCTAAAACACGCAAAAATTTAACAAAAATAATATTAAAGTAGCCAAGACATAGCCAAATATTGTAGCGCCACATCACTAGCGGACATTTGAAATTTGCCGACTAGAACGG